TAATGGAAATTTACTGGCATTCGTAGGGTCAGGTTATAAGACCCTAGACCGAGGCGGGCACCTAAGCCAGGCCCCACTGCAGGTGGAGACCTCGCAGCCTCTTGGGTAAGCATTCCATGTCTAGTCTACCACTTAGTTAGCTCATCCATATACTTACCCAGAAAGCTGTAGCAAACTTCTTTGGGAACAATTTCCACTCAATTCCACTGAAGTGCAGGAAGCTGAACTACGGTGTGGTGTGTGTGCGGAGATCTCACCCAACAGCCCAGCAGGGAAGCCCTGCACCTGGGAATCGGGGAAGGGTCTAGAGAGAAGCTGGGACTGCTGCAGGCCAGGGCCTTGGGTGGGAGCAGCCTCAGAGGGCCTATCCCCCGCTCCAGGGACTCTTCCAAAGGGGCTTGCAGGGGCTGGGGGAGGGGTCGCAAGCTGTCGTCATGTGTCCGGTGGTGGTCAAGAGACCTGGCCTGCAGCTGAGGGGGGCTTCCTACATCTGGATGCACTGGGGGACTTCACCCAGAAAGCAGGAGGGAGGCCAGAAGTCCCTCAGGGAGAGGCTGGGGAGGCAGGCTTTCTCAGTTCCATTAGGCAGGGACAATGACCATGAATGATTTCCAAACCTTCTCAGCCCCTTACTATGTTTGTTTTGGCCCAGGGCCAGCAGAACAAACCCTGAGTAGGCAGAGAGACCAGCTCCAGGAAGGACCTGGGAAGAGGCCTCTGTGGACTCCAAGCAGCAAGGCCAGCCCAGAAGTGGAACCCAAAGGGGACTTTTAGCCACCCCCTAGTGGCCTCCCACATTCCATCTTACCTTGTGTGGAAGGACACCATGCCCACCACTCCCACCACCGCCACCACCACCACCATCACTACCGCCATCACCACCACTATCACCACCCACACCACCATCACCACCACCATCACCACCTCTGCCACCTCCACCACCACCAACACCACCCACACCACCACCACCACCATCACCACCTCTGCCACCTCCACCACCACCAACACCACCCACACCACCACCACCATCACCTCCACCACCACCACCCATACCACTACCATCACCACCGCCACCATCACCACCACCACCATCACCACCACCATCATCACTATCACCACCACCACCTCCACCACCTCTACCACCTTCACCACCACCCACGCCACCACCACCACCACCATCACCTCCACCGCCACCACCCCCCATACCACTACCATCACCATCACCACCACCACCTCCACCACCTCCACCACCTCCACCACCTTCACCACCACCCACGCCACCACCACCACCATCATCACCGTCACCACCACCACCTCCACCACCACTCCCCATTCCACCACAAACAAAGCTGACTCCTTTTACTATCGATGGGTGTTTTCAATATTCTACTGCTCCTTTTTTTTCTTTTTTAATTTTATTGGGGTGAAAACATACATAACAAAGCATACACCATCTCAACAATTTCTACATGCACAATTCAGTATTTCCCTTTACTTAATCACACAGCAAAACTTACTAACCATAAAAAATACTGATACATTTAAAGAAAAAGAATCACTGTAAACCACACCAGCCTGAGGACCACCTCGAACATTTGGGCATGTGTAGTTCCAGCCTTTTTCTTAGATGAATTGTTAAAGGGTAATTTTTTAAAAAGGTGAAATCATGATTCATGAAGATAGGAAATGAACACACGTTAAGAATTTTGTTTAACTTATTATTGAGGAAGCAGTAAGATATTCCGGTCAGTTCAAAGGAGAATTCGGAGAACAGACACATTTATAGATCAGGAATACTGAAAGGATGTGTGAACAGATGCAACAAAGCTGGCTTCTTCCACAGTGGGGGAGAGAAAAACATTGGCCCTCCACTGGAGAAACGCACATGTCTATAGACAAGAATTATTTTGTATTGCTCAGCAATCTACAACTCACAGAGTTGTCCAACAGTGCAAAGGCAGCGAGACGCCAAGCCCCCTAGAGTCAGAGCTCAGTGGATGTTGCATCAAGTCCACAGATTCCCCTACCGAGGGATTCAGAAGGTGCTGAGCAAGAGCCCCAGCCATAAGCAGAGCGTTTGTACATGATGCCTGAAAGTCTTCTGGGAGGACGCACCAGAGTGGCACAGGCTGATTGCAGGAGAAGCTCTGCAGAGGGAAGGGAGGTGCTGGCTTTGGACACATTTGGGTATGGTTTGAATTTTTACAAGAATATTGGTGGACTACAACCAGAATGCTCCTTGGAAGCGAGGATGGTGAGACTTCAGCTGACTTACTTTGGACATGTCATCACAAGGGACCAATCGCTAGAAATGGTCAATGAAAACCAGGGAAATCCTGTCTTAGGCTGAGTTCTCTAGAGAAGCAAAACCAGTAAAGTGTATAAATACATATAGAGAGAGATTTATATCAAAGAAACAGCTCACGTGATTGTAGAGGCTGGAACATTCCAAGCACGTGGATTAGGATAGAGGCTTCTCCCAATTCCCGTAGACCCAGGGGCTGGTGAACCCAAGATTGACAGGTCAGAAAGCAGGGCTTTTGCTCACAGGCTGTGAATATCAACAAATCCCAAGATCGGCAGAGAAGCTAATAGCTCAAGTCCCAAAAACCAGAGGTCAGACGAACAGGAGGCAGCTGCAGGATCCAGAGCAAGCAAAAAGCCAGAACGTCTGCTTATATTTGGATGCAGGACACACCCCCAAAGAAACTCCCTTTCAACTGATTGACTATTCACAGCAGATTCAGTCATGGGTGTGTGATCACGTATAAACACTGAGAATCACGGCCCAGCCAAATTGACACACAATCTTAACCATCACACCCTCCATGAGATGGATTGACACAATAGCCACAACAATGTATTCAAACATACCAACTATCATGAAGATGGTGCAGGACCAGGCAGCATGTTGTTCTGCTGTTCATGGGCAGTGAGGGGATCTGTCCATGCTGACTCCTCCAAAGACCCTACATGTCCTATTGCTCACCCCAGCCCACAGCAGTGAGGAGATTGCCACCCTTATGGGGCCTGAGAAGTTTTGGAAAAAGGGTGTTTCGGGCTGATATTTACACTAGGATCTGGTTTAAGGCAGGTCTCTCAGGGTAAGGCCCTGATTGGGATTGGGCAAGGTTCATGATGTCCAGGCGAGGCTTTTGAAGGAGACTTGAGGAGTAGGTGTATAGCCATTGGATAAGGGAGTGGCTTGTGCAGTTGAGCAATCTGTTGTTCTGGAAAGAGGCCAGTTGAGCAGTTAGGACAAATGGATTTTCAGGGAGTTCTTGAAATAAACAATAAAGTTTTCTGAAACTTTATCTTCCTGGGCAAGAGCTTACTGGAAGAGCTATTGCTGCTTTTGCTCGTCATTAGTTACAGTCAAGTTCACTCTGGCTCACGGTGTTCCATATAACAGAACAAAACAGTGCCCAGTCCTGCACCGTCTTCACGATTGTTGGGATATTAGCTGGCACAGTAAAGCCAGGTTAATGTAAACAGTTGTAAAAATGATACGGCAGCGACATCTGACCTCCTCTAACTTTACAAGGGGGAAGGAGAATCAAGATCAACAGCCCAAGGCTGAGTCCTTTGACGCTGAAGTCAGCCCTGCCTCCTCTCCCGGCCATCTTTACCAATTCTGACACCGACCGCCCCTCCCACGGCGCTCTCTGCTTCTCTGCTGGGTTCAGTAATTCATTGCAATGGCCACACCGAACTCACAGACAATATTCACGATTATGGGGTTTATTAGGGAAGTAACAGGTTACAATTCAAGTTCAAGAACACTCAGGATACAGTTCTTCCATCAGGACAGCCTCTTCCCAGCCGTGCCCACAGGCATGCCTCTCTCTGGTCCCTCGGCCTCTGCCCTGTTCTGGCAAGTGTTACAAAGCTCTTTCAGCTCTGCCGATAAGTAACCCAAGGCACCCCACTCCGTCTCTCTCTCTCTCTCTGTGTCTCAGTCTCCAGGAGCTTCTTAGCACAGGGATCCCGGGTCCAAAGGACGTGCTCCGCTCTTGGCCCTTCTTCCCTGGTGGCGGTGAAATCCTCTCTTTCCCAGCTCTGGGATGGCTCGTTTCAAGCCCAGCAGGATGGCAAAACTGACCAATCCCCTTGGTGAGCCACAATGACCCTATCTGCACAATCCCACCCAATCACTTGGGTGGGAGTTACAAGACCACGGGCGAGAAAGGCCACGCAAGAGTGATCCAGCGCACTGCAACAGTCTTCGTCTTAATCCTGTTAAGCAATGTAGCTGTAGGCAGTTTGCTTCTCACCGTTGACTTGGTCTGAGGCAACGTGTTTGACTGCTCGGAGCCACTCCTTCTTCATCTCATGGAAACTGGTCCATGGAGTGTTTATCTAGGTAAAACACGCTTTGTAGATGGATGCCACTTTTATGGAACAGCTGATCTACCCGTGCATTTATCTACTCACAGGTCAACAAGAGCCACCCGGTGTCCCTTCCCTATGCAATGCTGGACAAGTACTAGCAAACAGGGGACAGCTAAGAGAATGTCAGGTTGTGACAAGCAGAACAAGGCTGGTGAGGGCTGCAGGGAGGCAGGGCCTGCTTTCGAGGCGGGCACTCTTTGGTCAAGCAATCTTATTTATTCCTTTTTAACCATCAAGCAGACACAATCACAAAGCGAACGCATGACTGGGGAGACGCATGTGTAAAAGTCTATCCTTATCCCCAGCTCACAAGCCCGCAGAAGGATTTTAATTTCAGCACATGTGATTGCTCTGTGCATTACAAACACCAGACAAGTTGAATTTCTCAGCTGTTCCATCTTGACTTGGCAAAGCTTCCAGGGGGGAGGGAGAATGTCCCCTGGGCCCTCGGGGAAAGGAACTGCCATAACCTCAGCACAGTGGGTGCCCATTGCCCCTCCCCCTGTCTGCGAACTGCAGGGACAGAGGGAGGGAGGTTCATGGCTCCTCCGGCGTCTGTAGTGTCCCCTTACTGCCCCATGCTGCCCATTGGGCCAGGGCCGTTGGGGTCAGGATGGGAAGGTGGGTGCCTCGGCCAGAGGACGGGACATACTCTGGATGGCCCACTGCAGGATGCCGTCGAAGGAGTGCTGCAGGACAGGTCAGAACAAGGGGCTCAGCACCACGAGAGAGCCTCGGGAAGACAGGCGCACCTACCCATGGCCAGCGACCCTGACCTTGGGACACACGGAAGCGTGGACATCAAGACATGAAGGTTCTGCCAGACCTGATCCTCTAACTCAAAGGTGGGGAAACTGAGGCCCCAGGTAGGCTGGGTCAGGCAGCAGGAAGACCTGAGTCCAGAGTCCTGCACGGCCTATCGAGAGTTCAAGGCACAGCCACCACCTGGGGGAGTCCCTCCCCACCCAGGGTGAGGCCAGTCAGCTCATTCTTGCATTCCCCGCAGAGGCCTGGTGCTCCAACAGGATTGGGAGAGTGTGGGAAGACCCCATATCACAGCTCAGTGGAGGTGGCCTGTACTGAAGGGGGCTTGTGAATCTGTACCTCCATTTCTCCAGGCTATATCAAGACCCGTCCCCTCCCCAGCGCTAGAGCGTCCTCATCCAGTCTCTCTGGCCACCTCTTTGTTCCCCAGGGTCTCTGGGGTCCTTGTCTAAAGACACCTGTCTGGTCTGTGATCTGCCCACATCCCCCGGTGTCATCTGGGACCCCTGAGGTGCAATGGACTCTGGAGGAGGACACGTATTGGACACCTGGGGCCTGGGAACAGCTGGAGGAGTTGTACCTCCTGCAAAAGAAGACAGGCCTTTAAAAGCCACATTTTCTTCCCAGGGTGGAGCCTGAATCGGGAGGGTAAGTGGACAGACCCCAGGAAGGGCAGAGGTTCCGGGGCCACTGTCCCCCAGGTGAATGTCATCTCCTCGGAGTCTGCCTTGGGCCATTGCAGCTCACACCGGTGCTGTGCTGAGATTCTGCAAGCCACCCACCTCCCAGGGACGCAAGGGGTCTGGACAGAGGGGGAGGAGCTGCACTCAGTTGACTGGGGGCCCTGTGTGTGCTGGTGTGTGCCACAGAAGCAGGGGCAGCCTCATTGCCAGGTCCAGGGAACAGCGTGGCCCATCTCTGAGCCTTGGTGCTGACCGCATGGGGGCAGGGCAGAGGATGAGCAAGTAAACACTGGCCAGGTGCTGCATTACCTCACTCAGGAGGGACTCCAGGTCTTCCCTGTGCAGACCAGGTTCGGGACCAGCAGAGTCGTCCCCTGCCTGGAATCCAGGAAAAGGGGAGAAGTCAACCCAAGTCCCACCACCGGGCTGGGGACCCCTGCTTCGCAGCAGGACCTGGGGTGGGGAAGGAAGAACTCCACTCCCTGCGGTCCAGATAGGGACGCCCACTTACGCTAAACTTAAAGGCTGCTGCGTGGCTACGGAGGGACCTTCAGGAAAAGGGTCTGGAGGTGACACCCCTACACTCGCGGTGACCAGCTCCGGGAGAAGGGAGGCCCGGGGAAGGGACGAAGAGGACTTGAATTTTTACTGTAAAACTGCCTTATATTCTACATTACAACACAAAGAACGGGTCTTTGCTGCTAAAAGAATCCAGGGGTCAATGACTGAAGCTGGGTGGAGGGACCCCGAAAGGTACACGGAGGAGGGGAACTGGCTGGGTCTGGGACCCACGAGGGGCAGGCTGGGGGCGGGGGGATGAGAAGGGACAAGTCAGCGGCAGGAGTGGGCCACGCTTGCCCCAGCGCCTGCCTAGGGGAGTGTGAGAGTGGGCCGCTGGGGAGGGGTTGGGATTTGTCGCCACCCCCTGGAGCCCCCAAAGATTTTCTGAGGCCACTGCCGGGGGAGAGGCAGGAGGCTCCTGTACAGGGGACACGAGGACCCTCTCTGACCCCTGCCCTCCCCTCCCCCCTCCCCGTGCAGCACTTGGCTTCAGGATGTGCCACTGAGCTGGGGACAAGACCCCACCCCCACTCTGCCGGCTCAGCAGCTGGGACCTCGGCCCTTGGCTGGAACCCCTCAGGGGAAATCTGCCGGAGCCTGTCCTTCATCTGATAAGGACAGAAAAGCGCTATTGGCTGAAGCGGCAACCGATTCCTCACCTCTGGGCAGGTTACAGCTAAAACCAGAGGGGTGGGAGACAGAGGTGGGGAGATGGGGGAATGGGGTGATAGCTGGGGGATGGGGCGAGATTACATGTGGGGGGTCAGAACAGGGTGGGCGCCGTGTCTGCTCCACTCCTCCCGGTGGGAGCCTCCTTCCCGAACCCTCCTCAGGGAGCACGGCTCCAGGTCCCAACTCCCAAGGGGCTGGGGCGAGGGCTTCGGGGAGCCCGGGTCCCACGTCTGTTGTGGGAGAGACTCGCAACCACCCAGTGAATTCACAGCTAGCAGCGAGTAGGGCGCGCTTCCTTTTAAAGTAGATTCCTCACCAAAAAGGAGTTGATTTAAAAACCAGTGAACGCACTCAGTGGATATGCGGTAACCCACGCAGCTGGCTCCCGGAAACCCCCTCCGGCAGAGCGCGAACACCAACTCAGCGCACCGAACACCGCCCCCCCGACCCCCCACCCTGCACTGACCTTGGCTGGCCCCGGGGCCGGACGGGCGGGGCTCGAGGCTGGCGCGCCCTCCCCGGAGGCTGGAGCCGGGTCTCCGGAGCAGGATTTACAGCGCAGGACAGCTCTGCGACAGAGAGGGGGAGGGCGGGGTTGCCCTGGGCTGGGGCCGGCAGCCCCCCACCCCCAACCCGGAGGGCCCCATGGGAGGGTATAGTGCGTCCTCGTAGACCCGCGGTGGGGAGGGCGCCGGGCCTCTGCCCTCCCTTCCCTCCCCAACGTCCCGCGAAGGCTCCCACGTCCCTCCCCCCAGCACCCCCCCCCCAGCCTCTTCCCGGCACCCCGCCCGCGCCCTCGCGCCCGCGGCACTCACCCCGGCCGGGAGGTGCCCGCCGGGAAGTGACAGCGCAGGTGGAAGGCGGCGGCACAGTGCGCGCACCTGAGCGCCTCCGCGCCGTCCCCGCACACGCCGCACCGCGCGCCCGGCGCCGCGCCCTGGAAACAGCAAGCGCGGCCGTGACCCTGCAGTCCCCGAGGCCGGGGACCGAACCCGCGCTCCCCGCGCCTCTTCCTCACACAGGCTGGATGGCAGTTCCAGACGGGTTAGAAATTGGCAAGGGGCCGCAGGACAGCGGGTCCCACGGTTTCGCGGCAGGGCAGGGAGTTGGCCAGCACCTTCCAGAGTGCAGCCCTGAGGAGCCAGATGCCCAGACCTCTCTGCTCCCTTTGTGGGCTCGGGCCCCCTTCAGGCCTGGACCAGGGGTCCCCAGAACAGGGTCACCCCAAAGAAGGCTGGAGGGGGGGCAAGGAGTGGGGCAGAGCAGTCCAGGGACATGGGGGGCTCCCCAACATAGCAGGCCATCTTCCTTTTGTTATCCCACCTTTGTGACTGGGTGTGGGCATGGGGGAAGGGGACTAAATGGCCAGGGTCCAAGGCTGGGGTGGGGTTTCCAGAGCAAGGACAGAATGCATCACCCCGCCATATGCCAGCCCTCCAGTGGCCTCCCCTCTGCTCTGAACTAAACCCCTCCTTTCCTGGGTGCTCTGGCTCAGTGCCCAGCCACTCCGCCTCCCACCTGGCTGTTCCCGTGGCCAGACTGGCTCCTCCTCCAAGGGTGCCCCCCTAGAGCCCCACCTAATGCGTACCCCTGAAGTTTCCAGCTTCAGCCAGGGTCCCTTCCTCAAATAACTCCCGTTGTCCCCTTCTCTCCTGTTTCTGGTGTGGACTCCCTGATGGACCCTAAGCTCCCTGAAGACAGACACCCTGGACCCTCACGCCACTTACCTGCTGTCCGTTAGGGTTTGCACACAGCAGGGGGCGCAGGGCAGAGGGCTCCAGCACTGGCAAGGGGGGCGTGGAGGGTGGGGGCAGCAGGTGCTTATAGCTGAGGGCAGCGTCTATCCCTGCTGGAGGCCCCTTGGGCAAGCCCCTCGCCTCCTCACCCACTGGCCTCAGTCCCAGGAGGACCTGGAAGCAGAGGTCAGTGCTCAGAGGGGCTGGCAGGGGGCTTGCCCAACACCACCCAGGCAGCCAGTGACAGCTGGGACCTGGGAGCCCAGGGAGCTGGTGCGGAAGACAGACCCCTGGGAGAGGCCCGGGTTTGATTCCCGCCTCTGTGGCTTCCTGGCTCCATGGCCATCAGCAAAGTCCTCACCCTCTCCCCTTCTAGAATGGGGTGCCCCCATGGTCCTCGGGACTGTCAGAGACATGAGTAAACCCTCAGGATATCCCAGGATGTGTGAAGCACCCCTCGGGTCTCTGGGCTGCAATAGAAAGCTTAAAAGTATTTTTGGAGGAAATCACTAGTGGTCAAACGGAGTCTCCTTTGTTGGGACAACAGAACCAAGCCCCCTCAACCGGGAGCCCTGAGGAGTCGGCCATGGTGTGGTCAGCTTCCCAATGGCCTGTGTCCCCTGGGACTTGACTCCAGCAAGCTGAGTCAATGCAGCCCAGAGAATGAGGCCGGGATTCTATGGCTGGGGCAGGCAGCAGCTACCCTGTGCAGCACCCCACGGGAGTGGCCAGCAGGTAGGATTCCAGAGGGACAGGAGGGTGACCCAGCCTGGGAGTGGGCCCATGCATACCGGGCTCTCCACCAGCGGCTCCTGGGGCCGGGGCTCCTCCGCACGGGGCGTATCCTGCAAAGCTCTTCCCTGGAGGCAGCTGGAGCACCTCCAGGACCCACTGCCCATGTTGTCACCAGTCAGAGGGGTGGGAGGACAAGGCAGAAGGGACAATCGACTCCAAACACACAAGACAAGGGAAGTCTGTCCTGTTACAGATGGGGAAACCGAGGCCCAGGCAGGGAGGCCGCAGAGCCACATGGATGTTCTCAGGCCCTGCCCCAGCTGCAGGGGCCTCCCCTGGCCCCCCAGTCAGCAGGAGAGCCCAGGATGAGGGGGCAGTCACTCCTGTGGGTGCAGTCAGTGTCTCCCGGATGATCCCCAAGGATCCCCAGCCCCTGCTCACCCCAGTGGTCTACACGGGTTCCCTGGGCCTTGCCCTGGTGGTGGGGGCCTCCCTAAGCTGGGACCACCCATGTTTCCATAAAGGACAGCAGGATGACAAGCACCCCGTGTCAGACAGGCGCGAAGAGATGACCAAACCCCTCCGTTCAGAGATGGAGCGACGGGGGGCTCAGAGAGACATCGCCTATTGAAGTCCTGCCGGGAGCTGGGGCAGGGCTGGGGCTACTGCTCTTTCCCACAGACCAGCTGGACCTGTGGGAGCTGGAGGTGAAGGGCAGGGCTGGCAGGTGGGGTGGAGGGGTTCTGTGCAGGGGCAGACAGGTGCCCGCCAGCCCTTGGGGGTACAGCTCTGAGCCTCTATGCTCCCTACTATGGGGTGGAACTTTGCTTGGGGGAGGTTGGCTGTACACGGGTATTTGGGCTGGGGGGTCTGGGGTGGGACAAGACAGGACAGCCATTCCTTGTCTCGGGCCTCCTTCTGCCTCGCCCGCGCTCAGGGCCCTGCTGGCCAGCGCGGCTGGGCGGGGAGGCCTGCTGGGAAAGCGCCGGACCCCAGCCCTCTGTTCAGTGGCCTGAGCCAAGGCTCTCCTCCCAGAAGGGCCCCCGTTTCCCGTCTGTGTAATGGAAGGACTCTAGGGGGCTTCCCATTCAGGCTCAGGGTGGGGGTGGCCTGGTGCAGCGGTGCAGGTGACAAGCATGCCAGGCTCACCTGGGGATCTCCCGGAGAGGGGGACAGAGGCAGGCCAGGTGGAAGGCCCGGGGGCAGCCGTCACAGCAGATCAGCTCCCCGCCGTCCCGGCACACGGCACACTCGTCCTCGTTCTTCTAACGCAGGAAACAGACATCATCCAGACTCCTGGGATGGGCAGCCCCTCCCACTCGGACTCCTGGGTGGGTGGGGCCTCTCCCCACCAACGGCTCCCACCAGTAGCATCTCAGGGACCCTGGACTCTCTGGGGCCCCCAGATCCCTCCCCCGCCCCCATGCTGGCTCTCACCTGAAAGTCCCCCCTTATGGCCTGCTCCCTGGGGTTCTTCACAGGCTCCTCTGTCTCTAAGACTCTAGCCCCACACACACACCTTCCCCAGGACCCATCCCCCTTGGGAATATGACTTCAGAAAGCCTGGCTTCAGTGGGTGATTCTGTACACCCACCCACACTCACCCCTTCCTCACAAAGGCAAAGGGGGGACTGACCAGTGGCATCTGTCGGGCCTGGACGCCCACTACTCCTCGGCCTGGGACCCTCACCCTCCTTGCACCTTTGGCTGGTATGACACCCGTTGCACCCTCGGAGGTCTTTCGGATGCTACCACCTCCAGAACCCTCCCCCTCCACGACTGCCAGACTGTTCCGGGACCCCTGGAGGGCAGGCTGCCTCCTGCTCTTGCCTGGATGTCAGGATTTGTAAGTGACAATGGCAGAAGCAAACCAAGCTGGTTCTACCTCGTTAGGAAACGGTGTTGGGAACTCAAGGATGTGCTTAACGCTCTGGCAGGCCCTTGGACTCCTGACCCTGTAGCAGGGACGCCCGCCTCCATGGGCTCAGCTGTGAGGTTCTCCAGACAGCCGGCCCGCGCCCCGGTGCCGTCCGTGGTTTTAAAGGCCCGAAGGACCTCGCTTTCTCTATTTGCATTTTTACAACAGTGGTGTGTGATCAGAACAAATAAATAAACACTGTTTATGAAAACCAAAGCTCCACCTTGTGAGCAGAGCTTAGTCACCCGAGTACCCAGGACCAGGACCAACCCTGCAGGAGAACCTGCTAGAGGGAGTTGTGGGGGCGAATGGGGGCTCCCCTCATGATCTGGGCCTTTACCTGGTGGAGCTGGGGCTCGCTGGGGAGGGCTGCAGGGGCGGGGACCCTGCTCTGCTGGCCTAGCCTCGGGTCACCTCCACCCTGCGAGGGGGAAGAAGAGGGTCACTAATCGGGGACGCCACCTAGGCAGCAGGAGCCCACGTGGCCGCTGAGCACGGGGGGCGCCTCTCGGCAGCAGCTCCCAGACCACTACCCCAGCAGAGCTTGTAGCCCAGAAGCTGTTGTGTGTGTCGGGGGGGAGGTGGGCAGGGTGTGCCGAGGGCCAGGCCTCCCTGGGGACAGACGGACAGACAGGCCGTGCTTACGGGGGCAATGCCCTGGGCTCCTTTGGCTCGGACCAAAGGCTTCAGGCCGCCACTGCTGCGGGTTTTGTTCTTCCCACCACTGCTGCCAGGGTCTTCCAACTTGCTGGGAGTGTAAAACTCGCCCCCCACCTGGATACACTTCTTGGAGCCACCTGGGTGGAGAGAGGTGACTGGTCCCTGTCCGCCTGGCCATCAGGTCCCTGCCTGGCTCCTTATGCAGGATCCCTGGCCAGGACGGGTGGGCCTGGCACAGACATCTGCCACTTGCTCCTCCCCCACACGACTCTTGGCCTAAGTCAGTCTGTGGCCAGGTGCTGGGCACAGGAGGGATCTCCGCTGGGGGACCCCAGGGACAGTCCCTGGTGGGGTGAGACCAGGGCTGCATCAGCTCCCAGGGGCCGCTGCCCTCGGGGTCCGGCCTGTGCCCCACAGAGAGGCCACGGCAGGGGCTGCAAGGGAACCACGTGGTTGCACGGTGGCTCCGGCAGACACCGCTGTACCCTGGGCAGATGGCCCTGGGCAGATGCTGGAGGACAGCTGCCGGCCTGCCCTGTCATCAGCCTCCTGGGGCTCGTGGGAGGAGTCAGGGGGCGAGAAGTGACTGGACCCCTCCTCATATGGGGAACCCAGGAAGGAGGTGGTGTTGGGAGGCGGGATGAGAGAGGTCCAGCTGGAGGGAAAGGAGGGGTACTGAAGGTGCCGAGAGGGTTGGAAGGTTTGCCACAGACGTTAGGGGTCCTCATGGTGGTGGAGGGGCCGCTCCATGGATGCAGGTGATCCAGGTACACTGGGCATCCCGAGCTGCGATCTCGAAGAAGGTCCCCGGGCCTCAGCCAGGAGCTCTTGGTCTGCTCCGCCCCTCCAAAGCCAGCAGAGCCACAAAGAGGGGCTGTCTCCCCGGCAGTCCTGGGCCTGCACCTCACTGGGTGGCTCCCCGGCAGCCCCCTCCCCTGCGTGTACCTGACTCAAACACCTGCTGGATGAGGATTCCCTCCACGGCCCCGCGGGCTCCTGGAACCTCCCCGGAGGACATGGCTACGGCTCGCTGGACCGAGGCGGACATGGTCTGGATCCCTGGGTAAAGGAACATCACAATAGGGGGCCGTCAATCATGAGGGGCTCCTGAGCACCCCCTTCAAGCTGGGCAGGAGTGAGTGGTTCAGGGCAGGCGTGGGGGTGGGGGGCGGCATGCAGACAGCCCACCGGTGAGTCCAGCCCCTTGGCTGGTTGAGAGATGGGCCACAGGGGGGCAGGCAGTACCAGTACCGCTAAATGCAGCAGCAGGGATGAACAGGCACCTTCCTTCCAGCGACTCCTCCCTGTGCTGGTGCCCAGGGCCGTTTCCAGGCCCTCCCTTGGGTGGGGTATGGGTGGGCAGGAGAGGCTGCTGGGGCTGTGCCCCCGGGGCGGGGGGCAGAAAAGTGCCAAGTCGTGTCCAGCTGGGGGGCCAGGGATGCTGTATGCAGGCAGCAGTGTCCTAACTGGCCTTGAGGGGTGAATAGGGCTGGGTGTGTGGCTGTGGTGGTGGGGGGGGGGGCAGGACCTCCTAGTTCCTAGAACATCATGATCAAGGGTGGTCGCAGATAGAGGGCAGCATCAGGAGCAGGGTGGGGGGTCTGGGAGGGACAGGTGGCCTGGGAGGAAGCCAGGGCTGTCTGTCATGAGCTGCAGCAGATGAGGGGCAGAGCAGCAGTGCTTTGGGGGGTAGGCACCTTGCAGCCTCATACCTGGAGGTTCCAGCTGCCAGGCTGGCCCCAGGGTGGGGGTGGGGGGAGCTTACAGAATATACTGATTCGCAGGCCCACCCCAGGGGTTCCCACCTGTCATCTTGGCAGGGCCAGAAGACTCAGACCCAGCTGGGCTTGGAACCCCTGTGTTTCAGGTGAGTGGGCGGGGACAAGAGTAGGGACCTCAGGAGACCCATTCCTGGCAATTCAGGGGCACAAACAGGAGTGCTGAAGACCCCTGACAGCAACCTTGGAACCTGGGCTACCATGGATAGGTGTGGGAAGGCGGACAGCAGGGGAAGAAGGTTCTAGAAGCAGAGGGTTGGTGAGTGGACACCTGAGTGGCTGTGGTGGAGGGGCCAGGAGAGAGGACAACCCTGTGATGTTGGGTTGGGAAGCCTGCAAGGAGGGTCTCAGAACCAGGGTGCTGAGGTGCGGTGCTTTGGGGGTGGGGGTGACCAGCAAGCTCGTGTTTGGGCCCAAGGCACCTCTTTTCTCCACGGTTGGCTGTACAGCCGAGGCCACTGGGATGAGATGCCCAGCCAGCTCAGTCCAGTGCCCAGCAGAGACTCTATGAGGGCAGGCAGCCCCCTCCCCAGCCCCACTGGGGCCTTACTCACCGCTCCCCAGCGAGACACGCTGTGGCTCGGCGCTGCTCTCCAGCTTCTTGGAGGACTTGGCCTTGGACTGGGAGCCTGGAGGGGGAACTAGAGGCAGCTGGGAGGCTGGCCGCGTGGAGAGGCGTGAGGGGGTGAGGGGGGTAGGGAGAGCGGGGATTAGGGGGTTCTTTGGGGGGATGAAGGAAAGGCAGCCTTCACTTTTCCAGGTTCCAGTCTCCCCATTAGTAAACTGGAAATCAAGCCCACCTGCCTACTTCGCAGGCCCCTGGGAGCACCACATTAGGGCAGGAGGGAGGCTGAGGCTTACCCAGGGTGCCCAGCCAATTACACAGAGGGGAAACAGAGGCAGAGGGAGCGAGGCTGGGACTGTCCTGAGGCCTCTGCAGCCCCGGCTAGGGCTGGTGGGACAGAAGCTGATTGGGGAGGGGTCCCCCGGGAGATTTTTCAGGAACTCCCCAAAGGGTACCTGGGCTCGAGCTGCCCCTCGGGGACAGGGCATTTGGCAGGACGACCCGAGGCTCCTCCAAGGCCTTTCTCTTGGCAGGGGGTCTGGGTGGCAGAATGGAGGCCTTGGGCCCAGTGGGGGGCTTCCTCCCCTTCCTGGGCTGGCTGAGGTCCACATCTGCAAGCGAGGACCAAAGCAGAGGCCGAGCCTTGGAGCCTTTTCCGGCCCTTGGGGGTGAGCTTGGGAGCTGAGTACCCCCGACAAGGTGGGCGAGGCCTCTTAGAATCCAAGCTGGTCCCAGGAGATCACCCTGGCCCTCCCCCCAGACCCCTACCCCCCACCTTCCAGTTCACAGTCCAGCAGGATGACACTGCTCCCCCAACCCTCACATCCCTGGCCCCACCTTTGGGGAAGCTGTCTAGGATGGGCTGTAGCCGGGCATATCTCTCCAGGTTGTAGTCCTTGAAGAGAACCCTCCAGAAGTCCAGGATGGCTGCGGTGTCCTGGGTCAGGAGCCAGGAGAGGAGGGTGTGGAAGGCCTGGGGACAGCCCTCCCTGTCCTTCAAACTCATCGTCTCCTGAAGCAAGACCAGGTGAGCGCTTCCAGGCTCCCCAGCCGCCCCCAACGTGGGACTGGAAGGTGAGGACCCCAACCCAGAGGAGGCAGCAGATTTGGCACCTGTGCCCATCCCCCGGCTTGTGGGCGGGGCGTGGGGAGGGCTGGGGGCGCGTTGAAGGCGGTGGCAGGGGTGGCTCACCTGGAACTTGTCTTCGGGGACCACGTCGTGGTCGGCCAGCGCGTGCAGCAGCGGGAAGGCGCTGTCCACGGCCACAGCGATCTCGGTGCGGTACAATCTCAGGAGGCGGCGCAGCGCCGCGTCTCCGCTGGGCCGCGCCTCACCTGCCATGCGTCTGCCTTGGGTCCGGGGGGTCGCGAGGTCCTGCAGGTCGCAGGGTCCAGGGGGACGCGGAGTCCTGGGAGTCGTAGGGTCCTGGAGGCGCAGGGTCCCAGCGTCCTGAAGGTCCTGGGGTCCCGGGGTCCCGGGGGGGCGGGGACTCGAGTTCAGTGGGCAGCGCGCCCCCTGGCGGCCGTGGCGCTACCCGGGGCGGCGGGGTGGGGTCCCGGGGAAGCGGAGCCGTTCAACTCCTCGGGGCCCGCGTCCTCGGTCGCTGAATTTCTCGGTGTCTGGGCAGGTCCTGTCCTCCCTCTACCCCTGCCCGGCGGACCCTCGCGGCAGCAATGGAGAGCCGTCCTCCTCCCGCACCTTCCCTCCACTGGCTGAGCCCGCGCCCCAGTTATACCAGTCTGGACCCCGCAGAGAGCACAGGTCCGCTTGCCCGGAGCCAATCAGGGCCTCGGCCGGGCTGGGGGCGTGGAGGAAGAGAAACATCGCTCTAAGATAATGAGAAGGCCCCCATCCACCGCAGCCCGCCGCCCACTTCAGTTTGCTTTTTCCGTTGTAAAGGAAGCGTCTGATCTGGCTGACTTGCCCACAGGTGCTGTTGCTCAGGGACCTGGGCCCCCAACTAACTTCGGGGGAGGACTGGGGCCTCTCACTTCCCCAGATGTGGCCCTGGCCAGACTGCATTCTGTTACCTAGAGGGCTATGTTCCAGTGGGGGAACCAGAAAGGCAGGTGCCCTCGGCCTCACTTGAGGCTCAAATGTAGGGCCCCAGCAGGTGTGAGGCCCAGGTGTGGGGACCCAGCAGGGACCCTGGGAAGGAGCATAGGCAGGGCCGGTGCTGCAGCACCTCCAGGGGTTGGGATGTGACACCCCCAAGGGTGGGCTGCCTCCGGGCCTCTCCATAGGGGGCTGGAGGGGGTTAGTCATTATTGCCTCCACTCTTGCCTGGGGACACTTGGTCAGGTCCCGAGTCAGATGGACGGGTCCCTGCCTGGTGGAGGGGACAGGATGCATGTGTGGGACGAGCCCTGGGCATCACCATGGAAGCCTGGACCCTGAGCCTGGCCTGCCTGTGTTTCTACCTGGGTGACACCCGCCAGTCACTTGCTTTCTCTGAGCCTCGGTTCCCGCATCTAGCCCACCGTCCAGCTCTAGCCCACCCTCCCTTCTGGTGTGTTAGAGTCCAGAGCTCTGAGAAAAGTGCTGACCCACGGACAGACGCGGACCACCTGAGCTCCTTGTCTGTGGGGGAGCCACCTGGGGGTGTTCCTAGGGCTGGGTGACAGGCTGGGGGGAGGCATAGCTGGGATGATGAAGCTCCCAGGAGAAGTGGGAAGGCTTTCTGGAGGGAAAACGAAGCCGGAGCCGGAGAGGGGAGCAGATGGGGTGGGTGGAGCTCCCCTTCCCCCTTCCCCCACCAAGCTTGCTCGGGGGCAGATTCCGAGCAGGCAAGGCCTGGAAGGTGAGATTGGGTAGCAGGGGAAGGCCCACCCATTCGTCTGTCTGTGCCGTCCAACCAGGGAGGTGAACTTGGCCCACAGGCCACAGGGACCACGGGAGGACTTTAGCTGGTCAGGCTTGTGTTAGAATGGTCGTTCTGGTGACCTGGAGGTCAGAGCTGGAGAGTGACTGCATGGTTCCAGGGATACATGGAGGAACTTCCCTCTGAGGGACTAAAGAGAAGGTCCCCCTCAACCCTCTCTCTGTGCAGTCTGGTGGGTTGTCTTCTTGTTTGGTGAAGTAGTTATCCAAGATGCGTTAGCCCCTGGTCAGCGGTTAAAGGGGAATTAAAAACTGCAAAGCAAGATCAGGGTCCCTGCTTCACTCCTCTTAAAAGCCCTGGAATCCCTGTCGGTGCCCCGTGTCCTCTCACCCCCAGGAGCCCTGAGGCCTGGTTAGCACAGAGGCTCCTGTAGAATTCTGGACTTTCCACACCCCGTGGGGTTTTCCATGGTGACCCCTTGCCCTACCAGCAGGTGGCCGAAACTGCAGAGGCCATGTGGGGAGGTCAGAGGACATGGGCTCAAGGGGCCTGGGTCCGTGCAGTGGGGTGTAAGACTGCCTCAGTAGCTCCCTGAAGGTCAGTGGGGCCCCCCTTAAATCTCAACATGCTCTTCTGTGAAGGAGAACATCATTATTTGACTTCTCCAGGTCTACCACCACTGGCTCCAGACCCTGTTCTAAGCACATCACTATTCCACTCACATGCTCTTCAGAACTGCCTGCCAGGCCTCTATTATGACTCTCCCCATTTTACAGATAAGGATGCTGAGGTGCAGAGAAGTTAAGGAACTTGACCAAAGTCACGTGTCCATAAATGACAGGGCCAAGATTTGGATCTCAATGGACAGTCTGGATCTAGGTGCGTACTCTCGGCTCACAGGGGACTCCTTGGGTGCCCAGGACGAAAGAGAATATAAAATATCACATTAATAATTTTTCATATTGATTACATGTTGAGATGATAATATGTTGGATTTATCTGGTAAAACAAAAACATTTTTAAATTAATTTCAGCTATTTCTTTTTATGTTTTCTAATATAACTACTAGAAAACTTTAAATTGTTTTCATTAGACTGTACTGGCTCAGACTTCCAGGTTTTCTCTGGTGGTTAATTATTCCGGAAAGGTGGTCTGTGCTTGTGAGAGGTCTTAACCTATTAGAGAAGTTTATGGTTGTCTGGCTTTCTATTCATTTATTAATGAGGTGGGAGAGAGATTTTTTTTTTTTTAATTCAACTTTTTATTTTCAGAGGATTCTCGATTCACTTGCAGTTGTAAGAAATAACGCAGAGAGATCCCAAGCACCCTAACCCAGCCCAGTGTCACTACCAGGATATTGACAAAAAGATCACGAAGGTGTAAGATCCCTGATTCCCTCCGGTGGCCCTTTTACAGCCATAGTCACTCCCATCTCCTTCCTTAACCTCTGGAAACTACTACTCTGTTCTCCATTTCTGTATTTTTGTTATTCTAAGAATGTTATATACATGGAATCACACAGTATGTCACCTTTTGAGATTGACTTTTTTCGCTCAGCATAATTCTCTGGAAATCCAGCCAGGTTGTTGAAGGTATCAATAGTTCATTTCTTTTATTGCTGAGTAATAAGAGTCTTTTTTAAATTTATTTTTATTTTTAATTGTGTTTTAGACAAAGATTTACAGAACAAATAGTTTCTCATTAAACAGTTAGCACACATATTGTTTTATGACATTGGTTGACAACCCCACGACATGGCAACACTCTCCCTTCTCGACCTTGGGTTCCCTATTGCCCGCTTTCCTGTCCCCTCCTGCCTTCTAGTCCTTGTCCTGGGCTGGTGTGCCCCTTTAGTCTCATTTTGTTTTATGGGCCTGTCTAATCTTTGGCTGAAGGGTGAACCTTGGGAGTGACTTCATTACTGAACTAAAAGGGTGTCCAGGGGCCATACTCTCGGGGTTTCTCCAGTCTCTGTCAGGCCAATAAAGTCTGGTCTTTTTCTGTGTGTGAGTTAGAATTTTGTTCTACATCCTTCTCCAGCTCTGTCCAGAACCCTCTATTGTGATCCTGGTCAGAGCAGTCAGTGGTGGTAGCCGGGCACCATCTAGCTGTACTGGACTCAGTCTGGTGGAGACCGTGATAGATGTGGTCCATGAGTCCTTTGGATAATAAGAGTCTTTGGGTGGCACAAACAGTTAAGCACTTGCCTACTAGCCAAAAGGTTGCCGGTTTGAACCCACACAGAGACGCCTCAGAAGATCTGCTTCCAAAAGGTCACAGCCTTGAAAACCCTATGGTGCACAGTTCCACTCTGAAACAATGGGGTCTCCATGCGTTGCAATTGACCAGGTGGCAAATGACAACGACAACAGTATTCCATGGGAGTCCCTGGATGATGCAAACAGTTAACATGGTCAGCTGCTAAGCAAAAGGTTGGAGGTTTGGTTCCACCCAGAGGTGCCTCAGACGAAAGGCATGGTGATCTACTTCCGAAAAATCAGCCACTGAAAACCCTGTGGAGCACAGTTCTACTCTGACACACATGGGATCGCCATGAGTTGGAATCACTTTGATGTCAACTTTTTTTTTTTAGTATTCCATGGTGTGGATGTGCCACAGTTTGTTTAATTATTCACCCGTTGAAGGACGTCTGGGTAGTTTCCAGTTTGGGGCTATTATGAAAAAAGCTGCTATAAATATTTGTGTGCAGTTTTTCTTTTTCTTTTTTAATGTGAACTGAAGTCATCACCTGGCTGGGATAAATGCCCAAGAGTGCATTGCTGGGTCATATGATAGTTGCGTACTTAGTTTCTAAAGAAACTTCCAAACTGTTGCCAGAGTGGCTGCATCGTTTTACCTTCCCCCCCAGCAATGTATGAGTCATTCAGTTTATCCACATCCTTACCAGCATTTGGTGTTGGCACTATTTTATTTTAGTCATTCTGATATGTAACGATATCTCATTGTGGTTTAATTAGTGGTTGAGAGCCATGCCTGCTAACCAAAATGTCGGCAGTTCGAATTCATCAGGCGCTCCTTGAAAACTCTATGGGGCTGTTCTACTCTGTCCTATAAGGTCGCTATGAGTCAGAATTGACTTGAAGGCAACGGGTTTGGTTGCTTTCTAAGGTCAAATCTGCTGTAAAACACCTCTTTAAAGCCTTGAAAAGCAAAGATGTCACTTTAAGGACTAAGGTGCACCTGACCCAAGGCGTGTGCCATGGACTGAATTGTGTTCCCCAGAAATATGTGTATCAATTTGTCTAGGCCATGATTCCCAGTATTGTGTGATTGTCCACCATTGTGTCATCTGATGTGATTTTCCTATGTGTTGTAAATCCTACCTCTGTGATGTTAATGAGGTAGGATAGGCGGCAGTTAGGTTAATGAGGCAGGATTCCATCTACAAGATTGGATTGTGTCTTGAGCCAATCTTTTTCGAGATATAAAAGAGAAGTGAGTAGAGAGACATGGGGACCTCATACCACCAAGAAAGCAGCACCAGGAGCAGAGCGCATCCTTTGGACCTGGCGTCCCTGCACTGAGAAGCTCCTCGACTAGGGGAAGATTAATGACAAGGACCTTCCTCCAGAGCCGACAGAGAGAGAAAAGCTTCCCCTGGAGATAATGCCCTGAATTTGGAGTTATAGCCTACTAGACTGAGAGAATGAATTTCTCTTTGTTGAAGCCATCTACTTGTGGTATTTCTGTTACAACAGCACTAGATAACTAAGACACCAAGGAGCTTTCAATCACCTCATATTCATGTGAAAGCTGGACAATGAATAAGGAAGACCAAGGAAGAATTGATGCCTTTGAATTATGGTGTTGGCAAAGAATACTGGATATACCATGGACTGCCAGAAGAATGAACAAATCTGTCTTGGAATATTGGAAGAAGTACAGTCAGAATGCTTACTAGAAGCAAGGATGGCGTGACTTCAGCTCACGTACTTTGGACGTGTTATTAGGAGGGACCAGTCCCTGGAGAAGGGCATCATGG